AGAGGAGGTTCACCTCCCCAAGGTAAAGCTTAAACTTAAGAAAGCCAAAGCTTAAGAAAACATGGCCTGACCATAGCTCAGAGAGCACATGGCCACACCATAGCTCAGCAAGGCAATGGCAGCAATGGTTGAATGACCGAAATCTTTCTACTTTTTTTATGTCAGTGTTTAATGTTATAAACTTCCCTTTTAGCATTATTTTGCTGTATCCCATAGGTTTTGGTGTGTTTTCATTTTCATTTGTTTCGAAAATTTTTTTAAATCTTCTTAATTTCTTTGTTGACCCACTATTCATTCAGGAGCATGTTGTTTAATAGTTGTATATTTGTACGATTTCCAAAATTCCTCTTCTTGTTGATTTCTAGTTTTATCCTATTTCAGTATAAGAAGACATTTTGATTTTTTAGCATCTGTTGAGACTTGTTTTATGGTCTAATGTATGGTCTATCCTGGGAATGTTACTTATGCTTATGAAAAGTATGTGTATTCTACAGGTGTTGGATGAAACACTGTATAAATTTGTTAGACCTGTTTGGTCTAAATGCAATTTAAATCCAATGCTTCTTTGTTGATTTTCTGTCTACATGACCTGTTCAATGCTGACAGTGAGGTGTTGAAGTTCCCAAAAATTATTGTATTAGATTATGTCTCTTTCTTTAGATCTAATAATAATACTTTACATATATGAATGCTCTGGTGTATAATAATCTACCTTGCCTTTTACAGCTTTTTGTTTTGTTTTATTTACTTAAAGTCTGTTTTATCTGATATACAAATAGCTATTTCTACTTGCTCTTGGTTTTCTTTTGTATGGACTATCTTTTTTGCATTCCTTCACTTTCAGTCTCTGTGTGTCTTTATGGATGAAGTGAGTTTCTTGTAGGAAGCACATAGTTGTGTTTTTCATGTGTATGTGTAGTGTGTATATATATATATATATATATTTTTTTTTTTTTTAATCCATCCAGTCAGTCTGTACTTTTTTAAGTGGAGAATTTGATCTGTTTATATTCAAGATTGTTAAAAATGGTAGGTGAGGACTTATTTCTGTCATTTTGTTAATAGTTTCCTCATTGTTTTGTATATTCTTTGTCCCTTTTTCCTTTGTTCTTGCTTGTCATTAATGTTTGGTGGTATTCTGTAGTGGTAACATTTGACTCCTTTCTCTTTCTCATTTGTATATCTGCTCTCCCAGTGAGTTCTATACCTTTCTGTGTTTTCTTGATTGTAGATATCATCCTTTTACTTACAGATATAGGACTCCCTTAAGCATCTCGTGTAATGCCAGTCTAGTGTTGGTGAATCCCCTTCATTTTTGCTTGTCTGATAAAGACTTTATTTCTTTTTTTTTAAGGATAACTTTGCTAGGTATAGTATTCTTGGAAGCCATTTTTTTCTTGAAGCACTTTTACTATATTATTCCATTTTCTGTCAGCCTGTAATATTTTTGCTGAGAAATTGTTGATGTGTCTGATGACGCTTCCTCTGTTTTTTACTTGATGTTTTCCCCATGCTATTTTGACGTATTTCTTTGTCTTTGACTTTGGACAGTTTGACTATAATGTCTCTTGGAGAAGACCTTTTTACGTTGAATCTGTTCGGAGATTATTGTGCTTCTTGTATCTGGATATCTTTACTTCTTGCAAGAGTTGGGAAGTTTTTAGCTATTGTTTAATTAAATAGATTTTCTATGTCTTTGTCCATCACTTTTATTAGAAATCCCAGAAGTTGAATATATAGGTGCTTTATGAGGTCCCATATATCATGTTGCCTTTCTTCATTATTTTTTATTCTTTTTGTTTATTTTTGGTCTGTCTGAGTTATTTTTAAAGACCTGTCATTAAGTTTGGAAATTAAGTTTTCTGCTTTATCTAGTCTATAATTGAAGTACTTGATGTATTTTTTATTTCATTGATTGAATTCTTCAGTTTCAGAACTTGTCTGATTCTTTTTTATATCTTTCTCTTTGTTGAATTTTTCATTCAGATCTTGAATTGTTTTCCTGTTTTTTTCATATAATTTATTTTTGTTCTCTTGTATCTCACTGTGTTTCCTTAATGTCACTATTAAAGAGTATCACTATTCTTTTATATATATAATATATATGAATTCTTTAATATCACTATTAAAGAACTCATATTTTGAATTCTTTTTCAGGAATTTCATAAATTTACTTTTCTTCGGGATCTGTTATCAGAGAATTATTGTATTCCTTTGGCAGTGTCATGTTTCCTTGTTTTTTCATATTTCTTGTTTTGTTATGTTGATATCTACACATCTGATGTAACAGTTTTTTTATTCTGATTTTATGAACTGGCTTTTCTAGGGAAAGACTTTTTCCTATAGATATATACCTATAATGTTGGTTGGTAGGGCACTTTGGCTTTGGCTCTGTGTGAGCATTGGAGTATAGTCTCTGTATGACTTATTTGGCTGTAATCAGCATCAGTGTCTGTGAATTCCTCCGTGCTTTGGACTGTAGTTGTTTGTAAAGGCAGTGGTAAGGCTTTGGTGGGGAAAAGAATGCCAGACAAGCCAATCCTTATGCACCAGTGATGGTGTCTTCATGCCCCACAGTGGTGTGTGAAGGGCAGAGTGGGTCCAGACAATGTGCCCAGGCTCCAACAGCAGCAGCAGTGGGGGAGGGAAGGCTTCTTCTGTGGCTCACCAATGGTGTACTTGAGTGCCAGCAGCAGCAGACAGAGCAGATCAATTCCCAGAATCTCAGATGATGTGCATAAGCACTAGCGATTGTAGTGGCAGGCCAAGCAGACCTCTCCTCAGGCCTCCATTAGTGCATACAGGTGCCAGTGATAGTAAGAAAGGGCCCCAAGACAATGTAAATGGTGATAGTAGGCAGAGCAGAACTGTTCTCAGGCTTTTGGATGATGTGTATAGACACAGGTAGGCAGGATGAATTGATCGCTAGGACCTCATATGACATGTACAGGCACCAACAGCAGTGGGGCAGACCTATTCTTAGTCCTCTATATAGTGTATGTGGTGGCAGCATGTGGTAAAGCCCTCTCTTCAGGCTCCCCAAGAGTGTGTGCAGGTGCTGGTGGCAGTGAGTATGGGAGGCCAATCCTCAGCCTCCCAGGTGACATGCACAGGTGCTAGCAACAGCAGTGGTGGGTGGAACTGGCCTCTCCTCTGGCCCCTGGATGGTGAGTGTGGGTACCAGCAGGTGGGGCATGTTAATCCCAGGCCCTCAAATGATGTGTATGGATGCCAGCAGCTTGCAGAGTGGGACTGCTCTCAGGTTTCCTGGTGGTACACATGGGTGTCGGTGGCAATGGCAGGGGAGGGATGTCAGTGCTCAGATCCTCGGACTGTGTGCACCATGTGGTGGTGGTGGTGGCAGCCTGGATCATTCTGTACTGATCTTTGTTCATAGGTCAATGTCCTCTGCTGGATTATAAGTTAAATATTGGACTCATGTTGCATTCACTCTCGAATCTCCAGTGATGAGCACAGTACCCAGCATAAAAGTGGATGTTCAATATGTGTTGAAACAAATTGACTTTAAATTGAATGGTTCCCATATAAACTGAATCAGCCAGATATTTTCATTTCCATGTGGCCCCTGTAAAGCTTAGAATTACTCCTAAAATCTGAACATAGCCTGTGTTATTGAAGGATGGCAGCTCCTCCAAGATAAAAATTATTTTGGAATGTAGCACAAATGTACCTATGAGAACCTGTTTCATAGACACAAATGGCATTAATAGGCCACAATACATGTTTAATAAGCAGATTTTAAAGTGATTCTTAAAATAAAATGTTGTATTCCTTTTGCCCACTGTAAAAGTTTGCATAATAAAGAAACATTTATTCCAATATTTAACAATAATAACAAGTGTGTGTGTGGATATTCATGTGTGTATATGCCCAAGAAAGTCATAATAGCATTGTTCATAAAAGTTAAGCCAGTTCCTCTTGGGCCACATAGACAACAATTTAGTTACTCTAATGACAAAGGGACTTCCATATAGATACCAAAAGGACTTTTTTCCAAAAGTAATGAAGTGGTCCCAGACCTGGATTCTGGGTACTGTCTGGGTATAGTGCCTTCATATCTCTCTTTCTCCCTCTCTCAGGTACCCTAAGACTCTCTGAAATTTTAAAGTTCCAAATATAATTCATTAATAAAAATCTGAAACTTTTTCTTGTATAAATCATTATGAAGTGTTGAGAGATAAGGAAAGAACTAAGACGGGCAAGTAATCATCTGCTGCTCCAACACTGAAGCCTGTCATTTCAACTCCCAACTCAAACACTTTGTTTTAAAGATTTGCCTTCAAGAAACCTAAAAACTGGTCTTCTGCCTCATTGGCAATAGCCTCAAACTGTTCCCTGTCATCGAAGAAAACAAATCTTTTGCTCATTTCTGCCTGAGGGAGACAGAGGGGCTGAGGTGGTCCTATGTGACTGAGTTAGATGAAAGACTTGCCTTCCACCATGGAGACATGGAGTCTAATCAAGTGAAATGAGTTTTGAGATCCCAGCTCGTTTCCTAGGGGAGATCAGCTCACATTACAAAATCACGACATCTCATTCATCACAACTGACGTGGTCTTTGCTCAGGAGAGGACCCCAACTGGGACTAAACCACCTGTCTTCTCTCAAAAAGGGGCACTTTATCCAAGTTAGAGTTGAAAGCCTTGGAGTGAGAAAGCTTGCCAGTCACCAGCTTCTTTCCTTGTGATACACATGCAATGTGGAAGGGAACTTAGGTTTACAAAAGGAAAGACCAGCTTAAGGAAGATTGGTGGTTCTACTTTTAAAGATACCATATATAAATAATCGTAATACAGATGTTAAGGCATTATGGTAGGGTGAGCCAAGACTGGGGATCCCTCTTCTTTATCTTGTAGATTTTATTAAATGTAAATGATAAGGATAAGTATTTCCATGCCTCCGAGTTTAAAATAGCAAAGGAAGTGTTCTGTTTTCCAGGCTGATAAATGATCATCATCTCTTTTATTTCTTTCAGGGCATCGTTATAACACCCTTACTACTGCTGCTTTTTGTGAGTATTTTGACGTTGTCTTTAATATCTTTTATTGAAAGCTATCAACAACCCTTTAAGAAAGGTCATTAGAATAAAATTGAAATGTGAATTCTTCTGCACCACATTTGAACTGTTCTTCCAGTTGAACTGTACCAAATAATAACACTCAAACACAAAGATGCTTCATAGTCTTGTGATCCAATAACAGTATCCAGTTATTAGGCCTTCAATTTCTGCTAAACCATGAATTATTACAAATTAATGGCCTGTGGCACAGGTCATGAATGTGCTGCTGTGTATTTTCTCATTTAGCAAAAGCAGTGTGATTGATAGTGACCCAGTGTTTGACAGAGCCTTGGACCAAGGGGTCAGAGGAAACTTGGGTTCCAAGCCTGGTACTGACAGTAACTAGCTTCCTCACCTTGGGGAAGACTGCCTCAATTTTCTTATCTTTAGAATGGGAAGCAACACCTACCGCATTCTATCTGCCAGAGACAATGAAATGTGCTTTGGAAATAAAGAAAATACAAGTAGATACAAGCTCCTGGTTAACAAAACAAAAATTGTTCTGGAAACAAGAAACGCTAATTAACTGTCTTATTTCTTTTGGCACTAAGCATATGAGAAATTAGATGAAAGATTATAATAGAAATTAATGTTATTTCATGCTGAGCAAAGCATATGTAATCATGAGTGATACCTAAAATATTTTATGCACTGTGCATTTTTTCATACACACATCTTCCAAATATAAATCACTCTACCGATCACTGAAATGTAGTGGGGATGCGTTTCTGGGAATGTAATGTAGCTGTTTGACTAGCACTATTTATCAGTGAATTAAAACTATGGGGAAAATTTATTTAATTATAGTGTAATTACCCAAGTTGGAATTCAATTAGAGTAATAGAGTGAGGGACTTCATTTCTTACCAGCTGTGTAGGAAATAGAGGGGGATAGATATACTACTTAACAGTTGGATTCTGCATCTTTCATGAAAGACATTACCTTCAAGTAATAAACTTCAGCTTTCCCCTCCCTTTTGAAATGCTGGCTCCATTCTGACAAGGTAAAAAGAGTCAGATAACCAAATTATTTTCCTCAGCATAACAAACCTCATTCATTTGAACTCCACCAATTCAGAATTTGCAGTGAGTCGAATTGAAACTAAAGTGAATATTCGCATCAATTTGGAAGAAAAGAATTGCTATATACCTACCTGCTGAGAGACACTGTAATCATCTGTCATCAGTGTTTTTTGCCTAAGACCTGAAATCATGGGGGTATTTTCCCAGAGCAGCCCTCAGGACTTGGTCACAGAATACAAGCCAGTCTGAGGTATCCACTTGCAGTGGATCAAGGGTTGAGCATCTAGCAGGTGCATAAGAAATGGCTGGATAGATTAGGTTTTCCCCATTGCAATTAGGGTGTCATCTCTTACTCATTCATGTGACTCATTCAAGAAGAGAAGGGGAGAAGTTACAACCGCAACTAGGTGGTAAAGATGGAGGGTAATATTTTTGACTGCCTCACAGGCTGGACTCTCTAGGCTCCTGTTTCAGCTCATGATTAAAGAACCACATAAGTGCTTTTCTCCTTCTTCTTCCCATCTCTGTTCCTTAACAAGAAATTTTCCCAGCTGATAAGTATCACTTTATTACGAGATGTCCCCACTTACAGACCCACAGACTTGTGAGATTTAGTTGGTTCAACATTTTAAAATAATAGAGCTACAAGAATATTGGAAGATGCCAAGACACTCAAAATAAAGGTTTAATGCTTCTCCTCTGAGACAGCTAGGCTGTTCCAGTACATTCAGTGGCATCATCACACAGCATCAATAGGTACTTCTAAGTTACATGACTTTAAATCACATGCCTCATATATAATACTTTTTGTCTGTTTAGGTTGTCATGCATTTTACAAACAATGGGAATTTCCTTTTTTTTTTTTTTTTAAGTTGAGAAAGCAGAATTTATTGAGAGGACAGAAAAGCTCCCACAATGGGAGGGGACCCAAAGGGGTTGCCACTCTGGAGCCAAAACCTGGTGCTTATATAGACCTAAGTCCAAGCCAATTGACTAGGCTAGCTGTGAGCTGTAGTTGTTCTGATTGGTCAGTATTGAGGACCAATTGGCAGGAGGTAGGGGCCTAATTGTGAGCTGATTGGTTGCTTTTCGATCCTAGTAATGAGTACTTAAGCTCTCGTGTGAGAGGCTTGCAGGGAGCTTGTTTACCAACCTGAACCTGAGAGGCCTGCTGGGAGTTCACTACATTGTTACTAGAGGACCTTCCTTTCTGTCTGCCTAAGCTTTCTCTAGCTATCTCCTGTCTCATTCCCCCCTCTGGAGTAGTAACCCTAACTGCCATTAGGGAGTAAGGACAATGACCGGTCTGGCTACTTCCTGCTGATCATGAGTATCGTATGGGGACGGCAGCTAGGGATCCTCCAGAGGGCGATCTAAAGGTCCTTGGTAGAAAGAAGCTTGCATACAAAGTTCCATCTGCATCACCATTTGGAGTTTGATGGCCTCTAGTTGAGAAGAAACAAACTTTACAAGAAGGTTAACTATATACATGGATCAAACACAAGTAAAAGGAGTTATTAAGGGAAAAACCCATGTCCATGTATTGGAAATCCCTAGAGAGGATAAAAAAGATTGTAATCAACTGGGTCCTGAAACTACCTGTTCTTGTAAAGAGTCAATGATTTTATTATTTTTTTATAGCCTGTAAAGTCTCTTTTACTTGGTAGGAAGTATTAACATGAAAGCAATAAGTTTCATTTAATAATGCACATGTTCCTCCACATTCTGTCATGAGCACATCCAACATTTGAATAATTACCTGTTGAGCCTACGTAGGTAATGGAGGGTGCTTATAAGAAACTAGGACTAATGATACTAAAACCGGGAAGCAAGATAGAGTAGGCATTTTGCTTGTTTCTATGAGGGAGACTTCTACGGAAGAAAGCAATCCCATGGACATTCAGGATTAAGGGGTCCTGGACAGAGACATCTAACAGTACAAATCAAGATGAAAACAAAGGCAGCAAGTATAGGTAGAACCATCAGGAGGAAATCCATAGGCAGTAAGTAGTGGCATTTATCTTTCATGGTCTTAGTTCGATTCTGTATGCTCTTCCCAGTCGGTTGAGGCAACTTCTGGACTCCATGCTTTCACTCTAGTGTGATAGATCCATGAGTCAATACCAGTAACCTTTACCTTCCTCCAAGCCCCACATTTGGGTGCCAAAACTGATGTGGATTTTTTGGGTCAGCCCGGGCTTCGAGAGAGTAAGCTCAAAGGGTCGGCCAGCCAAGCCCCGGAGAGGGTTGTCTGGAGAGGCTGGTAAGCCTAGCCCCAGAAGTGCTAGCTCTAATGGGCTGGCAAGCCAAGCCCTGAGAGCGTTGCTGGTTTGCTGGGCTGGCAAGCCTAGCCCCCGGAGTGTTGTCTCTGATGGGCCTGCAAGTCTAGCCCCTGGTGTGTCTCAGCTTCAGAGTCTCACCTTCTTCCGGCAACTTTCCTGGTTCAGCTGACTCCGTCAGCTGGCAAGCCAGCCTCTGGGGTGCATGGCTCTTTGGTTCAACAATCTTATGCAGCTCTTCAGGTCACAGCTCTTCAGGGTCAAGGCTCTTGTCTCAGGCCCAGGAAGAATGAGGGATACAAGCAGCTGGAAAGTGAGAAAGCAGGATTTATTAAGAGGACAGAAAAGCTCCCACAGTGGGAGGGGACACAAAGGGGTTACCCACAATGGGACTTTCTTAAACACATGGGTTACCAAGCCTCATTTATTGAGCAGGACAAGAAACTGAGTGACTTAAAATATGAACACATTCCATAAAAGATATACTATTTTTTTCCTCAGTACCCCTGTTAGGAGTTAAATTCCTCCTCTTCCCCCATAAAAAAAGATATGTTGGAGTTCTAACCACCACTATGTCAGAATGCAGTGTTATTTGAAAATAGCATCATTGCAAATGTAATTAGTTAAGATGATGACACACAGAAGTAGGGTGGGCCCCCAATTTAATATGATGGTGGACCTTATAAGAAGAGGAGGCAGAGACAAATAGGGAGAACTGCACATGGCAGTTGGGGCAGAGATTAGAACAATGCATCTACAAGCCAAGGGATGCCAAGGATTTCTGGCAAACATTCGAATCTAGAAGAGATAAGGAAGGGTTCTCCCTTACAGATTTCAGAGGGAACATGGCTCTGCTTGATTTCCAACTTACAGCTTTCAGAATTATGAGACAATACATTTCTGTTGTTTTAAGCTACCCAGTTTGTGGGCTTTGTTACAGAAGCCCAAGAAACTAATCTATCCCCTAGAAATTATATTGTCTTATCATATCTTCAGCATGGAAATATCTGGGTATTCAGGCACAGTAGCTAATGGGGAGCTTTCTTGCTGGAATCTCAGTACCCTGTATTCTTAACCTCTTCTCAGAATATCCCCTTTGCTTTCTTGCTACAACTGAACCCTGTCCTCTGACTCGTGTTTCTGCCACAGGAGTCTGTCTTCTCACTGAGTCTTGCAATGGAGTAAGGTGTCTTCCTGGTACCTCGTCACAAACTCCAGGTCATTTCCCATGCTGTCCCCATAAAATTTCCTGGATCCTTTGAGGGCCATGCCAACACAACTGTACCACCTACTATTCTGCTTTGTTGTAATTAACAATAGAAATAAAGGCCACTATCACTCCAAAAAAAAAAAAATATGCTAGCACCTTCCCAGTGTTTTCTTTTTAACGGTGTATTTCTTAAATTCTTAGTATTTTCTTTTTTTTCTTTATTCTTTTTTTGAGTTGGAGTCACACTCTGTTTCTCAGGCTGGAGTGCAGTGGCATGCTCATGGCCACTGCAGCCTCGACCTGCTGGATTCAGATGATCCTTCTGCCTCAGCCTTCCGAGTAGCTGGAACTACAGGCATGCGCCACCACACTCAGCTAATTTTCTGATTTACTGTAGAGATGAGGTCTCGTCATGTTGCCTGGGCTGGTCTCAAACCCGTA